GGCCTACAGCATACGTCGGTTTCGGCACACCTCAACCGATTATTCCTAAAGCTACATCTCTACAACCCATCTTATTCTATATCATATGAGAATGCCCCGAACACAAATTGGAAGGCATGGCCTGAAGTTGTGGGAGGGGCTATAGACCTATAAAAGGGACTCCCCCCTTTCCCTACTTACCTTTGTTGGTCAGATGAATAGCCCCACCCTCCACTCCCATTGTTCATATTTCCTCTATGTAAGCCCACTTTTTACCGGCCTACAGCATACGTCGGTTTCGGCACACCTCAACCGATTATTCCTAAAGCTACATCTCTACAACCCATCTTATACTATAGCATATGAGAATGCCCCGAACACAAATAACATTTTATTGTTACTGTTTTTTTATGTTTATATATTATATATATATATATATATATCTATATATATATATATATATATATATATCAATATCAAAATACACTTATAATAAAATGCTTTTATTATTTTCTATTATAAAATAAAAATAAAAAATGCATATAAAATAATAACATACATAAATATATCAAAATGCAAAATTATATATATTTATAAATTCCATACACATGTTTATCTATTGATTTTAAATAACTGTGTGATATTTTTATATTATATTAAAAATGTTTTAATATTAATATATATCAAAACGCAAATTATTTTTAGATATATATGTTTAAAGGCCGCAGGCCTATATTTGTGAGAGGAGTTAGCATTCCCCCTTCTTACCTTCGCTGTGGCGTTCCATTCACCTCGGCAACCTGCACTTCCGGTTCCGGCCTCCGTTCAAGCGTCCTCAGAGCTGCATGACAACTCCGTTCGTGGGGATTTATACGAATTGCAGTCAATCTCCTTTCGACCAAACGACATGAACAGACCCTCAGGTAATCGGCGAGGATAGCCACGTTCGGGCGTTTGCGTACGGGAAGGCTCCCTACAGTTGTAAGCAATCTGTTTACATGCTTTTGGCTAAACTGTCAATTCGTTTGTTACACTGACACTTCTTTTTCTATCTTTCATTAGTTTAAACTTCGTTACAATTCAAGCACTTTGAACAATTAGTTACTATTCCTGGTATGTTTGCCAAATTAAGTCAGGAGTTTGGCTATAAATATAGCTTGCTTGTTTTATTTAGCCGGACATTTCATTAAGAATTTAAATTTCCATTGTAATTAATAGATAGTCTCTTATTCTGGTTATATATTGTAAGATATTCACAGTATATACACAGGATGCGAAAGTCAATTACTATATGCCAGCATTTTCATATGTTTAAAACACCAAATTGATTTCTGATATGTCATGCCTCAATTTTTAGATATTGCAAAAATCAACCATAGGCCTGTATTTCCTGTTGCTATTTTTCTCCCGCATCACAACAAGGTACTCTACCAATTGCCTTATACATGGCCATACTTCAGCCATAACAAGGGGTACCAGGGAACGGGGGCTTGATACGATCCTATCTTAAACTCTCACTGCCTGTCATTATACGATCTGAGTCTATGTCCATTGCTGCTGGTATAAGGCCTAGTCACAGGCACTTATTGTTCATACCTCCTCCTCTTTCCCTCTGATACTACCACTCATAAATATCACGGCATCACCATGGGTATTCCTTTCGGGTTTGTAGTAACTAATTCTAGATTTTATAGAATGCTCAGGTCCACGGTCACAAGTATTGTCAGCACTATTACTCAGGAACTCCCATTATATAACACTTAGGTGAGTATTTATTTTATGTTATAGGTCTCATTGGGAATCTTTGGTCATGAGAAATCACAATTTGTGGTTGGCTAGGTACGTTTTCATAATTTACTCATTTCGCCCTTCATCAAGCCCCCGTGCAAGGAACTAGCTACTCAGGGTCAGGTGCTGGCCTTAGATTTATTTATAATAACTGGTCCCAAATCATAGTTAGAGCCTCGCATTCATCCACCTATCGGGTTTATAGTTAGGGCCTCACCTGTCACGGCCACACGTTTTGAATCTTTTACTGTCACCGAGAGGCCAACCTCCCGCCACCAGGCTAGTGGCTCGGGGTAGTTAGTTTTTCGCATCAGCACTGTTAGAAAGCCAGTTCTATATAGTTTTGCCAGGGCGTTATTTATCAGACCTTTGCTGTTGTTCTTTTTCTTTAATTTTTTGCAGTATGTCCCATGAAGCCAACCTAGGCGAAGAATCATCCCCCCAGCACACCCACTAGGTCTAGTACCCCTGTTAGGCATGGTACCCCCAATGAATTTCAGGGTCACTGAGGTCTTGGACTATCCCCAGGATCTCGGCTGAACTAAGCCATAGGGGAGTCCCCTTCCCAGCCCCGGCAAGGAAAGTGGAACTCTTCAAGCTGCTCACAGCCTATCCTGAGGATCCTGGATTGGGTACCAGCTCACAGGGGCACAACTCAAATATTCAAGGAACTCTAGACACCATTTTGTCATCTCTGCAGCCCATAAATGATAAACTGACAAAATTAGAAAATGCCAGCCCGGCTCAGATAGATCCACCACTCGTAGGATCTACACAAGCACTCGCACCTTCCAACTCGCAGGGTAGGACTCCTGCCTCACCTTTCACCCCCCCTCCACCCACGTAATTACCCCAGCACACATGGTCCCCCCAACTCATTGCAAGGACATTCTAGATGGGAAAGATGTAAATCTAGTCTCTTTGCTAATAGCTTCCCAGGACGTTGTGGAAAACAGAAAATACAATTACGGCGGCTTAGCTGTCGTTATGAAGGCTAGAGACGCACGTGTTTGTCCTAGCCTTCAGTATATATAGGGATGTTGTATGCTCTGTTTATACACAACCTCGGGAAGAACTCGACTTATACATGCACAAATCGGTGGACTTGGGCCACAAGTACGAGGGAATTATGTTTTATGATTACCAAAAATCCGTGTCAGCAATAGCAGCAGCAACCCTGGCCCAGTTTAACATCCGTACCGACTGAAGTCTGTTCGACATAGAACTCTTTCGCAGACATAGAGCTATGGTCATTTTTCAGAGGTTCACTGTAGAATTCAACATTCACAATCATTCGATACAAATCATTGTAACATTTGCCGCATTTTTCCACCTTCATCTCAAACGTTCCTATAACACTATCAAACTCTATCAGGTGTACAACACCACATTATGACCGCTATGCCAAATCACGCTCCTTTTTCACAGTAAAAGAAGATACTGAAAGGCATAAACAAATTAGATCATCACACGACACAGAAACGTCTGCCTATATATGGAGAGAAATTCCGGGCTTTATCGGACATACTGGACACACAACCATTTGACCCCCATACAAACCTGGTCTTAAAAAACACAATGTACGTAGCTTTCTATGGATTCATGAGGCCTAGAAAGTTCCCAATAACAACCCAGTCAGACAGACATTTGTGTCTCACCATGAAAGACTTAAAAAAGGTTAACGATTACTATCTTTTGTCACTCAGGCATTCCAAAACCAAACAATTGGGCCATCTGCTAGAAGTGCCATCTACCCTACCGAGAATCATTGGTGCCCTGTCAAAGTTTTAGACACTTATTTAAACCAGGTTAGGGACAATTCCAGCCACTCTCTGCTTTTCACACTGCTAGACAGTCCCCTCACTACTTCTAAGTTCATGTTCTACATTAGAACTCTGTGCACTAGATTAGGTTGGGACCCTACCTCTTATTCTGGGCATTCATTCAGAACAGCAGCCGCATCCAATATCAATACACTAGTTCACATCATCAAAAAGTTGGGACGTTGGAAATCCACAGTATACAATAGATACATACCACAACCAGAGAAAGAGTTAAGGAAAGCATTTAAAAGTCTTGTATTATAATCGTGTTTGCAATAAAGTTTGTTTTCTGCATTTTGCCCTCTTTATTACAGGCCTACCCCTACGTCGGTTTCGGCACACCACACCGACTTACTCCAATCACAAGGTATATCACGGTGTCTATATTAACCGACCACAAATATATATATATATTTATATATAAAAAAAATTAATTCAATATACGTATTTATCTATTCATGTTTCATAATTGAGTGATTTTACTAATTATAATTTGAGGGACCTGCCTAATAATCCACGCAGAAAGTCCAAAGGATATAATTTGGAAGCCCTATATTCGACCCTGTAACTTTCCAAAACACCACAAAACCTGTACATGGGATGTACTGTTGTACTTGGGAGACTTTGCAGAGTACAAAAAAGAGAGTTAAAACAGTACAATGCATCATGACAATGATATCATTAGTGAAAGTGCAGTTTTTGTGTAAAATATGCAATAAAATATGAACACTAACTGGGTGGCCAGGGTTTGAGTCTGAGTGGGTAATAAAACAGTTTGGGCTTACCCCATTTTGAATACTTTGGGTTGCCTACGTTTGCAAATGATACAATGGGGGTAGTTCTAATGCATGGGCTGCCATTTGGTCTCAAAGGCAAAATAGCCAATCTGGTAAATTTCAAGGTGTAAAACCTGAAATGGGCAAGTCATATTTTTAGACCCTGTAACTCTCCGAAATAGCATAAAACCAGAACATGAGGGCTACTGTTGTACTCATGAGACATTATTGAACATGAATATGAGTGTTTTAGAGAAGTAAAATGTATAGTGCTGATGATATGATTGGTGAAAAGAATGGTATGCCATGATGGGGTTCATAACCATTCCTGGAGTGCCATAGGCCACATAAGCCCAACAAACCAATCTGGCAAATTTCAATGTTTAAAAATGGAAAATGTGAAAGCCCTATATTTGACCCTGCAAGTTTCTAAAATCCCATAAAACCTGTACATGGGGGTACTGTTGTACTCGTGAGACATTGCTGAATACAAATATGTGTATTTTATTGCCTTAAAAGCTAATGGTATAATGACATTCATAGCTAAAATCTCATGCAGAGCGGGGCAGGGTCTGACCTGCGTGGCAGTTGGACGCATCCAGAAAGAGCTCCCAACTTAACTAACAATTTACCCATGTTTACTGCCCATTCGGACTCTGCTTTTGCAGCTACAAGAGACTTACCGCTATCCCGCTATATTGGAGCTCTCCTACAGCATGTGAACTCTGGATTGTTCCTGCAATCAAAGGAGGATGGAGTGAGGCCTGGTGTGGGTTCTGGACTGGAAAGGCGACCGCAATCTCTCCTTGCCGGATACTGGACTACTGCTAAATCCTACTATAGCCCTGTCTTCTCCCCCCCCCTCTAGGCTGGTGGGGGGGATTATGGTCCAAACTCCACAGGCTCCACTACTACGCTATGACCAAGTGACACTTATAAGCAGTACAGACCCTACCACTGCAATGGTGGTGGCCCCATGTTCACCTGACCTATGCAAGGGGAGATGGGATGTGGAGAGCAGGCTGACGGAGCTATTTGACTCCTTCTTTGCGAAGCTGACCGCTCGCATGCGGACCACGGCTCTAGATCCCAAGTCAGACCTCGTGTTTCACAGTCCTGTACATCCGGACGAGCCGGGGGAAGTGAAATTCACTCCTGATCAGACCTATCCAGTACACCAGCGCCCAGAGAGACACATCTTGGCGGTTACCGAGAACAACCCCCCCGGGTATGGGGGGCACCCTGATGCTGCACTTACAGCTTATTGGATGGATGGAATGGATCAGCTGCTGCCTTACGGCTCATGTCTCCAAGTCATGCTGTTTCTCATACTTACCCATGAGCTATCATGCCTGATGAGGCAGATTCTGATGCGGGACTCTACCTGGCCCTTACAAGGCATAGGCTGAGCTGACTCCCTTTTCCACCTGTGCCTCATTATTAGAGATTGGGCACCGTTTTTGTTTTGTTTTATAGATACATTGCAGTATTCACATATTTGACATATTTACTCACATGGGGCCTTTTGGGGGTTTCTCCTCTGCCACGTCACATAAGCGACTTGTATTCCTGTAATTTTAAAAAATAGTGCTGTATCTCAGACATGTCTTATAACGTCTTGCTCCTACTCTCTTAAGCTGATCACTGCATTGTCTTTGCCTTTACTTGTTTTCTTGCACTGCGCTACAAAAATAAAGATTTTTTTTAAATGTCGTGCAGAACTTGAAAAATAAATTTTTTTCTTAATTTCTCACACGTTTAGACTTTTTTCAAATAAAATTATGTTTCGTATATAAATATTTAATGTGAAATTGTAGCCCTGTTTCTCCTGAACAAAATGATATATAATAAGTGTAGATGAACAACATATAGCTTAAATTCCAGGTTTTGTTTTGATTTAGGTTTGATCACAACTTGTACAATTGTCCTGTCCTTAAGGGGTTAAAATTCTGCATCTTTGGAATTCCAATCTGTAATTTCATGAAAGCCTTATACACTCCACAATCTACAAAAATAAATACAGTGGTACCTCGGTTAACGAATTTAATGCTCTCTCAGGAACTTTTCTTTTTTTAAATTTGTAAACAGAAACGTGGTTTCCCATAGGAATGCATTGAAAACCAATTAATCCGTTCCAGAGGTCATAAAAAAAGTCAAAATGAGCTGGCATGGAAACCAACCCACAATGCAGAACACACAGTAAAAGGCATGCAAATGACAGAGCTCAGCTCCCTTTCTTTCCACCGCTTGAGAAATGTACCAAAAAAGTTCCAAAAAGTCCCAAAACCGCTGCAAGAAATGTCTGGAATGGCTCCAAAACTCGAATAAAAAAACGCTCCAACACCTCCATCACCTCCGCACTCGCAATGCATCCTGGGGAAAGTTGCTTCGTATTGCGAAAAAAAATCGTAAACCGAGGCATTATTTTCAATGGATTTTCATTTGTAAACCGAAAATTATGTTAACTGAGGCGTTTGTAAACTGAGGTACCACTGTACTAATAATCTAGATTCAGAAGATGTCATGATTACGAGAGGAGTAAAACAGGGATTCTCATCATCACCTATTCTTTTTAATTTAGTTTTAGATCCATTCATTAGATTCATTTAGTCTTCTAAAGACATAAGTCAACTGAGATAAGACCCAGGTCCACTGATACATTTGCACAAAGACAACTCTAACATGGACAACCTCGAACTTTAAATACATAGGAGTGGTAATACCAAAGCAAATATCTACTACATATAGAATCAACATGGCACCAATTTGACACAGAGGTGAAATCTCTCCTTTCTAGATGGGAACACTTCCCTTTGAATCTCTCAGCTCTAAAATCAGTTATAATACCTATAGTAAGGATTTTCTCTGGAACCCCAAAGGAACCCAAATACCTCTCAACTATGTAGCGTGGCCGAGTGGACCATGTCATACTAAATTAAAAATAAACACAGGGGTTTTATTTATTTAACCCCTTAAGGACTGAGCCAAATGTACACGTTGTTAACAAAGCAAAATGTAAACAAAACCTGGCATTTGCACTACATGTCTGTCCAACCGTAATTCACCTCTTTCATAGTAAATGCACCCACCCTTATTATATATCATTCTATTCAGGGGAAACAGGGCTTTCATTTAATATCAAATATTTGGCTATGAAACATAATTTAATATGAAAAAAATGGGAGAAAATTAGAATTTTTTTTATTTTTTTAGTTCTACATGACATTTTAACTGTCAATGTCATAATACTGTTTGCTTTTACTGCAATAAAATACACATATTTGTATTCAGCAAAGTCTCACATGTAAAACAGTACCCCCTATGTACAGGTTTTATGGCGTTTTGGGAAGTTACAGGGTCAAATATAGCACATTACATTTTAAATTGAAATTCGCCAGATTGGTTACGTTGCCTTTGGGACTGTATAGTAGCCCAGGAATGAAATTTACACCCATAATGGCATACCATTTGCAATAGACAACCCAAGGTATTGCAGATGGGGTATGTCCAGTCTTTTGTAATAGCCATTTGGTCACAAACACTGGCCAAAGTTAGCATTAGTATTTGTTTGTGTGTGAAAAATGCAAAAAACGCCAATTTTGGCCAGTGTTTGTGACTAAGTGGCTACTAAAGAAGACTGAACATACCCCATTTGCAATGCCTTGGGTTGTCTACTTTTGTAAATAATATGACATCATGGGGGTAATTCTTATTCCTGGGCTACCATACGGTCTCAAAGACAACGTAACCAATCTGGCGAATTTCAATATGAAAAAACTGAAAAGCAAGCCTTATATGTGACTCTGTAACTTTTGAAAACGCCATAAAACCTGTACATAAGGGGTACTGTTATACTCAGGAGACTTTGCTGAACACAAATATTTGTGTTTCAAAACAGTAAAAAGTATTACAGCAATAATATCGTCAGTGTAAGTACTGTTTGTGTGAAAAATGCAAAAAACTTCACTTTCACTGACGATATCATCGTTGTAATACATTTTACGGTTTTGAAACACAAATATTTGTGTTGAGCAAAGTCTTCTGAGTAAAACAGTACCTCCCATGTACAGGTTTTATGGTGTCTTGGAAAGTTATAGGGTTAAATATAGTGCTAGCAAATTAAATTCCCTTTACTTTCGGCATGGGTTGTCAGGCAGGTCCCGCTAATTGTAATTAATTAAGATACCTAATTATGTAAAAATATTACATAAATATATATGTAGAATTAATATATGTATATATATATATATATATATATATACGTATGTGTATATATATATGTATATATCTTTATAATTGTTTTTAAATATTTTTATTTATATATAGGTATATATATAGTGATATATACGTATATATTTATGTATATGGATATATATATTATTTTGTTCTATGTGTATTTTGATATAAATATATATTAATATCACAATACAGTTAGAACAAAATAACACGCATCTATATATTTTTAAATTATTTATTTTTAATTATTTTTTAAATTTTATTTTTTAACGTATTTACATTTGTTTTTATATTATATATAAATATATATATAACAATAATTATATATATATATTTAATCAGTATCAGTCTATGTGTAATTTGATATTAATATATATATAATTATATATATATTAATAGTAAAATACACCTAGACAGTGTATGTGTGTGTATGTATATGTGTATAGATATATACTTAGAGCATATATATATAATATATGATCTAAGTATATTATTTAATTTTTTTACACTTTATTAACATTATTTTATTTTATTTCCAGCCAGCAGGGGGACTACCTGTCATTACAGGTAGTCCCCCTGCTGGCAATACAGCAGCCAGCTAACCCGGCCATGTGATTATGAGGTCTTCGCAAGGACCTCACTCTCACATGGCTGGGGGGGGGGCTGCAGGAGGACGGATGTGCCATGGGGGGCTCCCTGGGAGTCCCCTCAACCGCAATCGCTGGCATGGGATCTCCGGCGACCGGGTAAGTAAAAAAATTATGGAGGGTGTACTATTACGCCCGGCGGCGTTTAGAGACGCCTAAAATAGGGTGTAATAGTACGCCCAGGGGCGTACCTAGAGCATTTGGCACCCGGGGCGGATCCTGTGCTTGGCACCCCCCCACCCCTCCCCCCCACCCCCAAAAAAAACAAACAAAAAAAAAACCTGTATAATTTTTTTAAGGTTCTCTTTTTTTTTTTTTTTTTACAATTTGTAAAGACTCCTGTCCCAATACAAAACCCCCGCCCCCTTCTACAAAATCCCTGCAGCCCCACACACTCAGTTACAGACAGTCACACACTCAGTTACAGGCAGACAGTCACACATACACATTTCCTCCGTGCGGCAGATTTTTGCCGCCCTAGGCAAAAGTAAAGTTTGCCGCCCCCCCCCATGTGACATCACAATGCCCCACCCATATGATTTGCCATGTTAACTTACGCCAGTGCTGCAGTGCCGCCGTGTTTACATTAAAAGGCCTGCAAGGACAGGCTATAGACAGCAGAACCACTACATTAAGCTGAAGTGGTTCTGGGGACTATAGTGTTTCTTTAATGTGAGGTAAATTAGAGCTTAGTGTCACGAATAATATACTAGATTGCCTACTTACAACCAGATGAGGATGATGATGGGCTCTAGCTGCAGTCTGGCTCCACTGGTCTGGTGCAGAACAGGCTCTCTGGAGGCGGTTTGTAACTGTGGTCACAAAAATCAATGTTCTGGGAGAACGGAAGCAGCTCCATTTTTTGGGGGTCCTTTACACAGCTCAAGGTCTGGGTCCCAGGGTCCACCTTCATGTTCCACCAATTAGTTTGTTCACAGGGGGTGGAGTGTGTAGGGGATGTCCTGATATGTGTGTAAGGAATGCATTGTGTGAATCTGTGTTTGTATGTGTAAGGGCTGCAAGGTGTGTTTGTGTATGTATGGGATGCAGTGTGTGCGTCTGTAAGGGATGCATTGAGTGTGTGTAAGGGGTGCATTGAGTGTGTGTAATGAATGCATTGTGTGTAACGGTTGCATTGCTTGTGTATGTGTGTCTGTGTGTGTAATACATTGTGTGTTTTTCTGTGTGCAAGGGGTGCATTGTGTGTATGTGATGAATGTCAATCTCTCCTCCCGCTCCAATTTCCTTCTCCTCCTCCCAATTTCTCTTTCTCACCCCCCCTCCTAATTTCTCTTTTCCCCCTCCTAATATCTCTTCCCCCCCTCCTGTTCTCTACCCCACCCCTCCTAATTTCAATTTCTCTCCCCCCCTAATTTCTCTTTACCCCCTCCTAATATCTCTTCCCCCCTCCTAATTTCAATTTCTCTTTCCCCCCTCCTAATATCTCTCCCTCCCTCCTAATATCTCTTCCCCCTCCTAATTTCTCTCTCACCCCCTCTCTCCTTTCTCACCCCCTCCTTTCTCTC